ACATAAGAAACTCCAAATCTAAGCTATTTCTAGGAGGAAAAAGAATGGTACATGAAAATTGCCCCATGTCACCCAGGGGCAAATAATATCCAAAGTTGCACTACTGCACACTGAACTGACATTATTACTAGTACTATAACTATTAACTACTTTATATAACAGAATTATATAACACAATTATATAATATCAGGTACCCAAATTTTAGCCTACTACTGACTCTGGAGCAGTGTAAATGTATTCTGTGGAGTGACGAATCACGCTCCTCTATCTGGCAGTCTGATGGACGTGTCTAGGTTTGACGAACACCAGGAGAACATTGCCTGCCTGACTGCCTTATAGGAATAATGCTATGTTTTTCAGGGGTTGGCCTACGACCCTTGGTTCAGTAAAAACTTAATGCTTCAGCAGACCAAGACATTTTGGACAACTGTATGCTTCCAACTTTGTAGGTTCTTTTCTGTTCTAGCATTACTGTTCTCAAGAGCACAAAGCAAGGTCCATAAAGGCATGGTTGGGTGAGTTTGCTGTGGAAGAACTTGACTGGCCCTCATAGAGCCCTGACCTCAACCCCATCAAACACCTTTGGGATGAACTAGAACAGAGATTGCGAGCCAGGTCCTCCTGTCCAAAATCAATGTCTGACCTCACAAATGCTCCTCTGAATGAATGGGCAAAAATTCCCACAGACACCCTCCAAAATCTTGTAGAAAGCTTTCCAGAAGAGTGGAAGCTGTTATAGCTGCAAAGGGGGACCAACTCCATATTAATGCCTATGGATTTAGAATGGGATGTTATAAAAGATCCTGTCAGTGTAATGTATAGGTGTCCCAGTACTTTTGTATGTAGCAATGTTCCTATTTCAACTACTTATAATTATCTTATAATTCAAAACATGTACATAAGACAAAACACGTGGGCTTTGGAACTTGTTAGTAATAAGATTTTCAAAAACACACATTCATTTTTCTAATAGATGAACAAAGATTCGACCCAGGGCTCGTCTGGTGCTAATGGCAAACCACGGGGGACAGTTTCAAAGGCCAGTACCACAATAATTAAGAAATGCAGCCCTGCTCCTCACAGAATAGAGCTGAGAGCATTTACAATGGAACAGTCTCTGGTTCTACAACTCCCTGCACTATATCCTATTGCACATCCCAAGTCTGAACCCTCTGACTCCGCACACAGCTTATATATGCCCATGTCATGATTCTTCTTCTTCCCTCAGCCTCCGAGCTCACATTTTTCTTTCTTTTTGATGAGTAACAGAGAAAAACAGTCATTTGATACCGTTAGGGTCATGGCAGTGCAGGAGAAAAAGAAAGCCTAAAAATAGCTCCCCCCGCTTCCAATTATACTCTGCACGAGGCAGCTCCAGCTCCAGCAGATTTCTTTCCCCCCATGATCGCAAATCTTCACTCATAATCGCATTCACCCAGCACACTGGTTCTCTAGCGGTAGAGGAATAACTGCTAAAGCCAAATTGATGCAGGGGAACAGCTCAATTTGCTGTCTGGAGTTTCAGTAGGAAATGAGTGCAATTTCCTCAAAATTCTGTTGATTCAAAAGCCGTACTGACATCAAAGACACAGATCAAATGTACCCACATATGTCTTTGCAGAGATCTTTTTTCCAAGTAAGTGTATAATTGAATTTATGAAACAGATAGCTATGGTTCTAGATTCTGATTGGCTGAGCCAGGTTCAAAGCCACTGAACACTCAATATCACACATCAACTAAATTCACACACATCAACTAAATTCTGTATTAATGCATCAAGTTATTAAAAACCTTTGTGCCGTTCATGGAAAAATCTTTGACTGTTAGGGCGCTTGTTTACTGTTAATGAACTAACCTGCTTTCCTGAAGAACTGTTTATTGTGATTATTAATAAACAGTAGCGAACTGTGACTATTTCAGCTAGGCCTTCAGTTCAGGCCATAAATGTCAAAATACCCATTCAATGGGGCTGAAAGAATCACATTTTCCTTTTTTTTCTTTTTTTGTAATATATCCTTTGGCCACACCAACACCCCCCCTACTGGTAATTAGCGGGTAATTGCGTACTTCTCAAAATGATCCTTAAAAAAGACAAAAGTTTCATAATTAACCATAACTTTAAATACATTCGTTGCTGTTGCTAAGCATGAATAGTCAGGCAAAGGCCTTACTGTTCGCATGCTATATGTCACTACTGAGTACAAATTAGAACTGTAGCTTTATTTGTCACCATAATAGTTTTGGTTTTCTTTTACATTTCTTTTGATTAATTTCTGTTGTTTTTACTTATTTTATTACAAAAGCAGCAGTGAGTGCGACATATGAGCTGACAAGCCGACATACAAACTCAATCATCGACGAGCTACGGAGAGTGGGGCTAAAGATTTAGGGTCTTTTGGGGCTGCAGGCCAGTCTGAGCCAGAGGGGGAGCAACCTGGAAGTACCTGCACAGGTACCCTGCTTGGCTGGTGCAGAAGGTTCTTCTGGTCCCAGCACCGAGCTCAGTGGGCACAGGCTGAAAGGCATGAGATCACAGGAACTGTAATCGTTTCCACTTCGCCAAACGTGGCTCTCGGCACATGGCCTAAAAGGTCTCTGGCCAGAGTGGCTGAATTGAAATTGACCAACACATCAGACTAGTTTGCCTGGGAGTTCCCACAATGGTAGCAGCGCTAGTAGGATCCCCTCTACATCTACTGCCAGAACGCAGCACTACAAGCACGTTTAAGGTTCTGAATTTCTTTTTTTTGGTGTCGCCCTCAGTACTAGTGACACTCTGATGGGTATCACTATATTTCATGCAATTCCATGGCATACAAATCTCTTATTGCATCTTATGACCTCACAGTTTAAGGTGCTTCCTTGAATCCTTGGCTATTTTTACTCTTTCAACTTCAATAGCTACATGGAAAGTAATGTAACTTTTCAAGCTCTAAAGAAAGGTACAAATGTAATGAAAAATTACTTGAGTATTAGAATTATTAACTATAACACTATAAAAAACTACATAAAACTATGACATTATAGGAGGGGGTGAAGTAAATCATTAACATTTTCTGTTGAAGATGCTGTAAAAAGTTATTTTCCTTCTATGTCGTATTTTAGCCACAGAGCTGCAAAGCTTAAAAAAACAAAATTTTATGATTCTATTTTTTCACACTGTGAAAAGCTGACTGTACTTTTATTTACTATTAAATCTGGATTGCACCATATTGGTGTACATTTACAGGGTGTCATGCTGCTAGTGGTATACTTCTTAGCTTTCCACCAAGCTGTGGAGTTGTAGCTGAGTGCTGTCACATACATTTGCCAAAAATGGTAGATACTACTCTGATATTTACTACTCTGCTTTCAAATTGTTCAGAGTCGATTCACTGGGTTTGTGGGTTAGGGTGCAGCCAATATATTGTAATCTGCCTTTAATCAGATAAGAAGTAATGCAGAAAACTTGGGGCAAAGAGTCTTCCTTGTTTTTTTCCCTTTCCCCTTTGACATGTTTTATTTTTCCAATAAAACTTATTGATAAATGGATCAAGTTTTGCTAGTCCTTTGCTCGTTGGAGTGACTAGGATAATTTTTAACAAATGATTTACCTTCGGCAGTATGGACATCTTGATTGCTGCTATTTGTCCAATAAGATTTCATTGGAGTTTCATCCAGCGCTCAATGCTGTCTATGTTTTTTTAAGGGTAGATCAAAATTAAGGGAAAACAGCCTGGACAGGCTGGCAGAAATATTAATTCCTAAGTATTTTCTATTCTTTGTTGTGAGTGAAGTAGGACAGTTTAAAGTTGTGTGCATCCAAAGAGTGCAATTTTCAAATCAAATTTTTCTTATAGCCTAGATTATCAACAACTTTGTTTTTAATGAGAAAATTCAATCAAATTACACAAAGCTTGTGAAGAGTCAAACTAATAAGCAGTCTGGCACACTATATTCAGTGTTCAAACTTCTAGCCAGAAAAAGTGGATCTTCTTTGCCAAAAAACAGGCCTTAATTTATAGAAAATAATCACAATATTGGACAGGAAAATCACAATCATTTGGATTTTGAATTCTGATTCTGAATCGTTCTGCCCTACTCTATGATCACGCTAACTTCAGATAGCGCCTTTATGAGATTCCTAACAGTATGTTAGCACTTTGCTAAAGCTGCTGCCCATGAACATTTTTGGTTTGATTACATTTGAATTATGTGAAAGATATTTTATATTTTTATTCGAAACTCTAAATAGACATTAACATACAGCTACTTTCCCATTCAACAACTGACTGAAACTTAGTTAGACTACCGCTCGTATTCACAGTCACTGACGTATCTAGGACTTCCAGGAGGCATATAGTGTCATTCTCTCTCACAAAATTGGCTTAGATAATGTGTGTGTATGTTTTTCAAGATCTGAACCCTTTTGTTTCAAACCCAAATTGATGGAATGAGTATCACTGCAATATATGCAGAGATTTCATATAACATGCATGATGTTTCTATTAAATAAAAAATAACTATAAATTACAGACATAATGTTTGTTAAAATCATTTGGGAAGGCCCTGAAGGTTCACCTCTGTTATCACTAAATTAAAAATGTAATTGAACATTGTGCATTTTATCAAATTTGTCCTAAAAAAGCAAAAAACCATGAGAGGCGATGCGTTACAGTGATTTTACCACAGTTAATTAGGTCTACTTAATTTCATGCCATGCCAGCATCATCAACAACAACAAACACCCCTTAACATTGATGAAATCACTGTAACGCATGGTCTCTCATAGCTAATTGCTTTACTAAGGCCTTAAAATTCACAGACATCTACATAATTTATTATTAAGTTAAGAGTGAATAAAAGAAATGTGGACCCACCGGCAGGTCAGTGAATGTTAATCTGGAGTAATGAAACCTATGAAAAGCTATACTAGTTGCTGTGGAATAAATACAGAGACATGTCATTTTGCGCCAGGTCTATTAGTGGAAAGGTGCCGGTGTGCATGTTCAGAATTACCAGGATCAGAGCAGTTCTTCTCTTCAGTCTCATTGTCATCCTCCATGGCCATCAGTCTTCGGCCTGTGTGTGGAGTCTCCTGCAACACGATCCCATGACCTAAAACAGCCACACACATCCACATAAACTGATTAGAAATCCATGTTCTGAATGTGTTTCATGTTGTACTAGCATACCAATTGTATTTTTGTGGGAGCTCTTTTTTATATGGTACACACATATAGCTAGTTCATGAAAAATCAGGTTTGGAATCTGATGCTCTAAGTTAGTGTACAATTTTTCATCAGTTTTATGTGTGACCGCCTTAGTTTCTCAGAGGGCATAAAGGCTTAGGCTTCCTATCACTCCTTAAGACCGACCAAAGGACGGAACAGATGACCAATCCGATGACTGTGAATCAAAGAGCATTCATTCATTCCTTTAAATCCACAATCCTCTGAAAGGCTTTAGCTAATATAACATTATTAAATAAAACAATGGCTCCAAAGTCTTATGTTATTATAAATTTTACTCCACAGTTGAGGTGCATAAAATGAAATGGCTAATTAAGAAAGTTTGCAGCACGTTTTTCCAAGGAAATCCTGTTCTGAGAACATATCTGGGCTTTCTAAACCTCACTAAGGCTAAAGACTCATTTCACTAAATCGGTGCCAAAAGGTCATGCTAATTCGTACTTCCTTCATGCCAAGAAATCACGTTCCTTGTCCTTGATAGTTTCAATTACATATTGCTCTTACTGGAAAACTTTCTCGCTTCAGTAACCATTCATTTTGGCGTCAAATAACACTGAGAGGTACAACTTCTCAGTGAATATTGAACATGAATAAAGTAATGTTTTTATATTCCATTGATATACACTGTGTTGATGTAGAAACAGATGCACATATGATCATATTCCTAAAAGTATATATAAGTAAAAACATACCCTTTTCACTTTCACCAAAAGTTTTTCATTCATTTGTTGTTGTTTTAAATAAATATATTTAAGCTTGAAAGCAGATTTTTGTTCCTTTTTTGTAACACACTGCATCAAACGTTGTGAACTCAAATGACACTCCTCTCATGGAATGACTCTGAAATATATGATGGTGATTTCTGTACATATCCTTTGGAAACAATACAATGTAGTTAACTTCACATCGCTAGAGATGTTTTAATATAGAAGTGAGTACAAAATACGGAACCTGTAACTAAATAACAGACTACGATCCAGAGTATCTTTTGGTTCAGAGTTAAATCAGCTACTGTTCAAAGCTGTAGAAGAGTGTTAGTAAGAAGAGTGGGTGTAATAGGTTCATTAAAAATCTTAATTGCAATAACAAGTGTTTGATTATGGAAGTTATTTGGAAAGAGATTATTTGAATAATTTATGTGAAAGAACTCCAGAGGCAAGTACAAGAAAGAATGTACACTTACAGAGTATTTCATTTCATTAAAGTTCACCAAAAAATCTGTTTTATCACAGCTTCATTGCTTCAATGCACAAAATAAAATCTCATTTGCTCTTTCTATACTGCATCAAGACTCATTCAGTCACTTAAAATTTGGTATACTTCAAAAGAGCACGGATACTGGAACTCACAATGTAAATCTTTGGTGGTTTCTATATTTTTAATTACAATTTTTTTTTTACTTTTTTTTTTTAAGTTCCAACAACATGTATCATTACTGACCCCAGTTACTTACCCTTATCTTTTAATACTGAATAAATTAAAACCAGTTGGACCACCCATGTGCTTGTAACATTCATGCGATTTTATGTACCAAAAATAGTCATAATTAATTATTAAATGGCTTTTTCTAACCTAGCTTTATTCCTTTGAATTGCACCGGCTGTTTCTGTTACTATGCCTTTAAGACTGAGCTATTAAAATGATCTCCATTCTGATTGGCGGCCTCGTTGAAAAAGCAGTCAAGGCCGAAACACTCCTTATAACTTCAGTGTAAGTGGGTAGGGCTAAACTGCTGCAGGCCTAATAGATGGATTTATGTAAATGTGCTGGTTTTCATTACATCACTAAAATAGTCAATTAAAAATGGCTGTATGGAAGACTGTAAGGGCAAAGTAGTGAATAGTATGTTTTAAAACTTTAACAATGTTTAAGTACTACTTTATTCTTTAAGTTCAAAAAAGTGATGAAAATTCAGTTTTACACTGTACAAGTAAATCTGACATTAGCTATGACATATCTAATGTTGGACTGTAATCAACTGCATGTAGCTTGAAACTCTTTCCACAACAAAGCATCTGCCTATGGCCATAAATAATCCACAGACCTATATCAACGCAGAAGCTATGCATCTTAAACATGAAAAAATTCAGGCTAACTAAGGTTTTATGAATGAAGCTAGTTATTTCAGCCATGGTGATTTCCAGCCATATTAAACCAACCATAAAAAACATTTTTCTCCTCGTTCTTAAAGCTTTTTTTTAATTTCTGTGTAATTCTCTCTGTGTAGCCACTAGAACATCAATGGCAGGGCTTCTTGTGAGCATGTGCATTTTTGAAGAGTCAGCTGTTCTGAAAACGTCAACTCTTTTTCAGCAAACCTGTAAACACTCAGTGCTCAGCCACCTCCATCGCGGAGGCACGGGCAGAATCCTGATAAGCATGACCATCATGCTGACTTATCAGCTATGCCACACACCTAACTGCAACTCAGCAAGCAGATTCATCAGCCTTGTCACAGTGATATCAGACACATATAATCCCTTAAGCCCCTTGTAATGTTAGTGCACTTAATGACTAATATGATGCTTACAATCCACACCAAGGCATACTGATCCTCAAAACAGAGATGCTGACGTCTCCATTCTTCAGTGGAGCTTCTTTTAATTTAGTCTCCAGTTCTCTTCTCCTAGGCTCTACCATAATAGAGTCAGTCTGAGTTTAAAATAGACTTGAAGAAAATCAATTTTAAGGTAGATCAACATAAAAAAGGAGGTGTAACCTGCTTGACACTCACTCAAAAGTGAAAATCAATACTGGCAGAAAGTCTATAAATGAATAAGACTATCTATCTGTATTGTCTATATCTCTTGACTAGTGATACCTTGTGAGTATGGAAACTAAGCAGTGTGTTCAAACAGCAAGTAGTGTTTGAAAAAAGTGATGGTCTAAAACAGAAATGATATATAGGGAACATATACACTTTTATACTTCCACTCTTTCACCTCACTGGCTATTTTGTAGGTCCAATACATAGGTGTACTAGTTTGTAGTCCATCTGTCATGTACAATTGTTTGTGAGCCATTATCTTCCCTGCTCTTAACAGTAGGGGCCCACTGTCCTGTATATTTTAGCCCTTTCCCTGCACTCTGTAAGGTGCTGTAAATGAGCTGATTACTTGGATCACGTGTGTTGGGAGCAGGAAAAACAGTCAAATACTCCATTTAAAAAACTGTATTGATTAAAATGTACATGTTCAGTAAATCAGCTTAGTGATTACTTTGCAATGTGAATGATAAAAAAGGTACCCACAGGTCACTGTAAAGCCATGTTCAGAAGTCAGTAGTGAGATATTAGTGCGCAAACTGCTTCCATGTTCATTAATGAAAAAGAGGAAACACACAGCAGCAGGATCTCATTAATGCATGTATGTTTATAGCTACAAGTTCCATGTATATGATGTAAAATTAAATGTTTGTTGTTACAAATATAATCAATAGTGGCAGCCCTATTGTGGTCAGAAACTGACCACTGATGAAGACCTGGACGATGGCTGACACAAACTGCATGACAACAGATGGGATACAGTCTGTACCCTAGCAAGAGGGACCTACATGGTAGTGCCCAGTGAGTATATATACTATAGCTGTCAGAACAAAACCTTGTATTGCCAAAAAAGTAACTTTACAAGAGAAGCTTTTAGTGTACATTTTTTCTTAACTTTTAGTGTACATTTTTGTAACTAAATGTTATCGTAAGTCAATTTGGGACATTTCTATTGGTCTGTTCATCATAAAGTGTTGTCACAATGTAAATTGTAGTTGGGCACTGGCAAATTATGTAAAAAAAAAAGTGACGATATTTATCCTCCTCAGTCCTCAGACTAAACACTTTAAAACAAACAATGTTTTGTTATAAAACATGCTCTCTGCTGCGTACTAAATAACATAACGTAATGTTTTTTTTTGTTTACTGGCAAACATAATATTAAGTGCCTGGTAAGCTGGACATTTGGATGTAGCTGCATGAATTGTGAGAGGTTTTGAAAAATGTATATATTTATTGTCACCAACATAACATGACACAAAGCAAGCACTGAACTGTTTACTGTTTGTACAGTTATATGAAAAAGTTTCTGAACTCCTGGAACTACCTAGACATGAGTGACTCCTATAATTTTCATAATCATTTTTATACTATAATAATAAATAAAATTTATAACACACAGCGCATACACTGATTTACATTTAAATGAAAAAATGGTTTAAATAATCAATGTCATTGATGACAAAAATCAGAAAATATTACATAAGCCATGTTAGATTTGGCATAATTTTTACGTAAGATTACACATATTACATATATTTTATGTGCTAGCCCAGTGTTTTTGTTTTCTTCTGTTATCCTGATGATAATAAATAGGTCCTTTTTTTTAAATCCTGCACATTTCACATTTCAAATTACAATGTCCAGTACACAGGACAGTGAATTCTACTGAAATCACTAAATAACAATATTATCTCTAAATTATTGAGCATCATCTACTGTCACTCCTAAATAAGCATTAGATTCTTTTAACAAATGAAGAAAAATCTTGAATGACTGTGTTTTGTGATGCAGGAGTGGATTATACTAATCAAAGCACCATTTACTACACCAAATATCCAGATTACTGGACATTAAAATTTATCTCAAAATGTCAAAAATTTGTGTCTGCACGAATAAATATCTACTATTTCATTTCTAACCTTTCTCAAGAGGGACCTTCTAGAAGGACTTAATACAAAAACACTTCTAAAATCAATACAGGTCTTAGACACAACTATCTCAACAGCTGCCATGTTTGTTTTTATGTTTATGACAAGACAAAAAAGAAAACATTCTACTAAATGATCAACTAATACAAAGACTGAGTTCTGTAGAAACACATGAGAGTGAGTGTGGTGACGTACCTGCTTCTATAGACCTAGAGTATCTGGGGGAATGAGGTATGTATATATGTTTGCTTCCAGCCTATAAAAAAGCGGAGTGAGTGAAGCTGTTTGGGAGTAAAGGAGGACACAATACGTTAAACACGAGCGAGTCCTCAGACGGGATGTTCCCTACAACTGCGCCGTGTCTGAGTGATGAAGACGAGCGTAAATAAGCAGTAGTAGCCTGAATGTAGACACTCAGACTGGACAGTGGCTGTACAGTATTTACAATACGGGTTCTAAGAGGCACCATTAACGCCGTTTTTCACACTGCGCCACCGCCACGGCACAGACTGCCTCTGCGCTTTGCCGTGTGCACATGTGAGGACGATGTGCGAGGCGAGAGTGGCCGGCATGTGTCCGTCTTTACAGAGCCCAGGGCCTGAGGAGGAGGAGTGCTTGACAGCGCTGTCCTCTCAGCTCCATCGTCTTGTGTAATCACTGGCATCAAATCCCGCTCGCTCGCGTGTGGATCCTCCAAAATGGGAGGCGAGGATGACACTCGCCACACGAGAACACGGCTCTGCGATTCCCACTACAGGGAAATTACATATTACACCGCAGCGCAGACTATAGGCTGGGCAAGTGTGAGTACGGAGAGGAGCTGAGCTCGCTAGCTGCGTTTAAAAACATCCTCTCACCTCCAGCGCACTGGAGGACACCCTCACACCCTCTGTGCCCCCCTCCACCCCCCAGGTCCCGCTCACCTGATCGGCTAAGCACCGCCGACATACACCACGCCGCCAGCAGGACGCTGCACACGAAGCACACCTGCACGAAGAGCATCTCGCGCCGCTTGCGCGCTCTGAACAGCCTGACTAGCGCGCTCTTCTTCGACAGCGAGCTGCTCTGCTCGGACTCCATGGTTTCGCCGCGCCGCCAACTTAGCTCGTCAGTTTCCCTCCAAAAACGAAGCCGCAGGAGATGCAGTCAGAGCCCGGCCGAGGCTGTGGAGAGGACGGGGAGGAGGACGGCTGACATGGGGCTCTCTGTGGTCGCTCTTTGTCCCGGGTAACGTTACCGCCGTTTCTGCCTCAGAGCAGCGCGATGAAGCTAATCAGTTCACCTAATCAGTTTTCTAACCGCACATTGTTGTTTTCGCTGACGGAAGACTGTCCTGCTCCACTGATGAAGCCCGGTTTGCCTCAGCGCTCCCTCACTGCACCCTAGCGCTGAAGAACGGCGGTCATTCTGTTTTCTAGACTTGTAAGGAGACTATCGTCCCTCTCCGTTACTAACCGCTCTCCCTATGTAAACACAGCGGAGCATCTTCCAAGCCAGGGGCAGCTTTCTCCTCCCGATCAACTCTCTCCCTCTCTCTCTCCCTCACACTCTCGCGCTCTCGCTCTCACTCTCTCTCTCTCTCCTTACACATGCGCCTGGGACTCCTCCATGTGAGAGTCTGTTACGCTCCAACACGTGATAGTGGGCGACCCCCACTGAGCAGGCTCGCTTTAAACGGCGCTGCTCTCTTTCGCACTCATCTAAACGCCACACACTTTAACGAGCCGTGTCCACTTCTTTCTGAATGACCAGCCTACGTTTGCTTCACCATCGTGCTCTCTGAAATGATTTGCTCTACAAAAATGCCCAGCAGGACAGCACTGTGTCTTAGTGTGGAGTTTCAATGACTGCAGCATTGTGGGCTGGGTTTGTGGCTGTGGATATATATACACAGTAATTAATTCAGTTTGGATCAAAAGGGGGGCGGGGCTGACCCCAAGGCCTGCGCTGTTTCTGCTAATTCATTTGCAGTTTTTTAACTTTTTATTAATGTTACTGTACATCAGGGCAGGAAAAAGTAGGAAGAAATTATATTTAAGTGAAAGTATGAGTATTTACCCGAAAACTTACTCAGTAAAAAGAGGAAGTATAGAGCTTAAACTGTACTTCAGTGAAGGTGACAAAGTATCAGAATTGCTGGATTATATAAATAAAAATTTTAAACTAATTTGGCTGGATGTTTTAACAAAAGTAAAAAAAAAGCAAGAGAAAAACAGAAAAATCTTCTAAAACGTGTTCTACCTTTTTGAAAATTGTTCTATAAAGCACCAAGAAGACTTCCTCTATTGTTACAAGCTTGACATAACAACGTAATGTAACAATAGTGGAACCCTTTTGGTGTTATATAGAGCCATTTTCAGAAAGGTTCTATATAGAACCATATAGAATACATTCTCCATGAGTCTGAAGAACTATTTCACCATGCAAAGGACCTCTTAAGCATGAAATGGTTCTACATAGAACTCATCGTTCTAAATGGAACCACTGCCTTAACTAAAGAACCCTGGAAGAACCATCTTTTTTAATAGTGTAGGTGTCCAAACATTTGACTGTTATTGTGCATCCGAGTCCCTAATTTACATTCGTTTCTATCATAAACCTAATACAACTTTATAGAATAAAGTAAAAAGCTTCCAAAATAATATTTTATTATGGTAAGTGCAATTAATTAGATACTGTCCGCCCATGTTGTTAAAAGCTTACTGGTAATTTTTGTATACACTTGGTTGTTAACACCATCATCAAGTAGCTTATGCTAAAACCTACCACAGCTTGTCTCTCAGTACATTAGGGACCTATGCTACATATCGCTGGTGTTGTAAGAAAACCTTGTATTTCGAAATTACAACTTTACAGAAAAAGAAAAAGACCTACTTTACTTTTAATGTAAGTCAGTTGAACCAGACTTTTTTCCAAGTCGTTTTGGGCTGTTTCCTAATAATATATTTATTAATTTATTTGGTCCGTTCATCATGAAATTTACACACAATGTGAAGAGCAACAGAAATTTTCAAATTATGTCAAAAACTGAAAAACAACAAAAATAATACGTTTTCTTCCGACAGCAGTGATATACTACATTTGCACCTCAACATCAGTGAATAAGGAGAATGGATGGGTGATACCACTGCTTTTCTTTTAGATCGAATAAAAAGTGGACAGATGTTGAGATTTGACCGATATTTCAAAAATCAAATGTATTGTACTTGAAAGAACAAAATAGTTAGATGATGACTGTGCTAAAATATCTGTACTTCATTCATTTTACCGCATTTGTCATTTGATACAATTAATTTTACACTGATCTGTAACTGCTAATCCTAATTCCTCTTTAATTCCTTTATATTGTAAATGTTTATGTATCAGCATCATATTGGTATCTGCAGATATGTACATGAAAATGTCAGATATTGGCATCATCCACAATTTCAATATCAATGATTCCCTATCAGAAAGTATATTTGAAAGACTTTGACTTATATTAACTGCCAAATAGTGCACATTTAAAATGTGTTAAAAACCAAGACATTCTGTCTCTAACCAGACACATCAGTGTGTTCATTTGGAGACAATGTGTTGAAATGTGTTAAAATATTTCTATATCCATTTATGGACAAAACATTTTGGGTTAATTTTAACACAGAATGTGTTGAAATATTTCAATACCCAGTTACAAATAACACATTTTGGGTTACTTTAAACACAGAAAGTGTTAAATCATAAAACAAAATGACACAAAAAGTGTTAAAATGGGTAACACAAGTTAATGTGTTATTATTTGACACATCCATTTTTAGAGTGTATGTTTGCCCTGAATTAAATGACTACTTTGCAGTACTTTACAAGCAGCAGAGTTATCAGAATAAGCTAATTCACAATATGCCTATTGTTTGGGCATTTACTCTGCTCCCACTAAATTACTTTGAAATTTACAGTGTTTACTTTCAGTTATATTTATTCAGCATGTCCCATTTTAGTACTGTGTGAATTTGTCTCTGTCTCCAATATGCTAAAAGGTTAAGTACAGCTTTAAGAGCCCTCACATACCTGTCAGTGTCATTGATCTGGGTAGCAAGCTTACTTCTGCAGTTGTTAGCATTAAGATCTTGTGTACCAAAACAATGGCTCATTCATGTCTGTTTTAGGATGAAAACACAGGCATGCAGAAATAAATGCTGGCAAAATGAGCAATGTCATGGAAGAAAAGCGGTGATGACAAAAATAAGATAATCACATGTGTAAGAAAGCTGATCATGTACTTAGTAGCACACAGTAGTCAAAGTGACGTAGTATTGCAAGTGACCTGTGAAAAAACTGGTTCCAGTGGTGCTGTAAATGCAGGATCAGACCAAAAACTACACTACCAGTCAAAAATGTGGACACACTTAACTAAAGGCTTGTGCTTATATGCAAAATAAATTTGCTTCTTAGACAAATAAAAAAAGAAAAGATGATATTTTTCCACACTTGAGTTCAGTCTTAGAAGTTGGATGCATTGCATTTTCTGCTTCTGATGACACAAGTAAACCCAAACGCATTCAATGATATTGAGGTCTGGATTGGTGGTCAGTCCATAGGGCCTCATTCACTAGCCGTTCTTAAGAACAAATTTCTTCTTAAAACCCACGGATGCAGATTTCACAGAGATTCTGATATTCACCAATGTTTTCTTATTTGAGATTTGTTCTTAAGTAAGAACGGAATCTACACACACTCAACAGTACAAAGGTGCAAACAGTTCTGCAGTTTAAGAACACGTCATGAATTTGACATAGACTTTTTCTTAGGACCTTTCCAAAGAACACATTTAAGAAAAAACTTAGGAAGATATTGGTGAATGAGGCCCATTATTCTGAGAGCACAAGAAGCTTCTCTCTTTGATTTGCAACTTTTTCTTTTTGCAGTAATGGCTTTTTGACAGCTACACATCCTTTTAGACCCATAGCGTTGAGCTGTCTTCTCACAGTGGCATGATAGACAGAAACACCTGTGGGTTATCTGATGGTGACCGTTTTAGTGGTTTACCAGGTCTTGCACAGTTGTTGGGAGTTATAGATTTTTAATATTCCAGTTTTGGAAACTCCTGCTTTCTATGACTTTCCCCTTCATTATGCAAGTAGATTATCTTATGTCTAATCAGAAATATCTTCTTTAGCAATTTTAAATGCACACGAGAAAGAAATCTGCAAGGCATCTAAGATGTGTTTTAGTAGTCACTTGTCTGAATGTCACTGTTTCTTTGAAGGGGAACATAATGTGAGCAGCTCTTTTGGAACAGCTTTTGTTGGGGGGAGACAGCTGTAACTGGTTGGTTTTGTGATTGGAAGGATGGAAGAGTTAAAGTGGCAGTAGAGAGCACAAAAGTGTTGACAGATTAAATACTGATAGATTTGATATTATACTGATAATGGTATTATCCTGCTTTTTGTCTAAGACTAAAAATGAATAACTTGTGCCATTTTGACTGGAGAATGAATAAAGAAAAGGGTGGTTTCTGACTTTTGCACAGGACTGTATTTTTTTTTATTTCCTCCAACAGGTGATTTTCAGCAACAACAAGATCTCAGCATATGTGTGTCTTTGTCAGTCCTGTTGGAAAAGAATCCCAGATGGCTCCTCATGAAGCTGCTAGAGAGAATGCAAAGAGTGAGTAAAACTACATCAAGACAAAGTTTGATGTATTCTAAAATAATGTAAAATAGGAGATAATTTGATTTAACTTAACACTTAGCTTTCTTGATCATCATTCCATATGTGTTGTATTTGATAGTTTTGACGGTTTGACCGTCACCATTATTATTTTAAAATGTAACAATAAGGAAAACCCATCTAAAATACCCCTCTAGTACCCATCTCTAGTACACACTTAAAAAAGATGGTTCTTCAAGGGTTCTGTAGTAAAGAAGGAACCAATCAAGACATAGAACCATGAACACTCAAAAAGGTTCTTTGCATGGTGAAATGGTTCTTCAGATTGATGGAGAATGTGTTGTACATGGTTCTATATAGAACCTTTTTGAAAATGGCTCTTTGTAGCACCAAAAAGGGCTCTACTATTGTTACAAGCTTGACATCACAACATAATGTAAAAATAGCAGAACCCTTTTGGTGTTATATAGAACCATTTTCAAAAAGGTTCTATATAGAACGAATTACAACATGTTCTCCATCAGTCTGAACAACCATTTCACCATGCGAAGGACCACTAAACAGAACTCATCGATCAAAATAGAACCGTATCCTGACGTTATTGTGCCTCTGATTCCATAATTTACATTTGTTTCTATCGTAAAGCTAATACAAATTAAACTTAATAGAATTCATTTCCAGAGCAGACCACTTATCAGCTGTAGAACATCTGTTTGTTTCCCAGACAGAAGAAGAAGAACACAGGACATTGTCCATGCTATGAGTCTTTGTTCCTCATGCAGGCAGGCTGGTACAGTAAGGCTTACACACACTCTCTCTCACTCTGTTACACACACACACACAAAATCATGTGCTCGTCCACAGTTCACCAAACCCGAGACCTGCTCTCAGATGACTGGCCTCTCCTCACAATGCCCACTAAA